TAAAATGTTGTAGCGTCAATTCTGAAAGTTCTAAATTTCCAACAAAATAACTTGACATCTCATTGCATTTCTCAAACAACAGTTCAAAATCTCAAAAACACAATGCTAGCCATATCAGATAATTTCAATTTAAAAATTTGCATATTTCAGTACTTCAGTGGTAGGCGATTATATCAATACAATCAAGACGGCTTTTTTATTTAAGTTTTGATTGATAACAAGCTTTTTCGAACTACAAGTTTATAAGTTATCAAAGAGAAGCTTTTTTTGATTGCCAGATTCTCTAGATTTCTATGTTCAAGAGTATTCATGATGATTACCAGCTTGATTTAAATCAAAATTAAAATAGAAAGTCGTCTTCGTTGTATTGATATAATCGCCTACCACTCTAGCAATTTTTTGTAGATCTTGTATGAAAAGCAAAGTGCGCGCTTAAAGGAAGCACAGGAAAGACTGACTGGCGAGGGACATGCTGCGATCAGCCAGGAACTACGAATAGCTACACAGAAAAGCAGGTCAACTTGAGGGGGGCCGAGGGGAGGGAATGAAGTGGGTTTCGCCAAAGGAACTAAATACTTCCTTCAAACTCTAATTTTCTTTTCTAATCTTATTGTTTTTGAACCTGTGAAATTTAAATCTACAGTGAGAACCAGAAAACTGTGGAATAGGAAGACGACATTAAGCAATACTTAAGTGTATATTATGTTGCTGGAAAGTTTCATTAGTAGCTTAGTATAACAATTTTGGAATGAAAGAGGGTTTTTTTGACTGCACACCTAGTTCCACAATCCAAATGTTCATTGGACTATTTAAAGTCATAACTTTAATCTAAAAGTCTAAAAGTTTAAGACGAGTATTCAGTTTCATATCATGGATTGAGTCGGAGTTTAGTTTCTCATTTCTATTTTCACTTCTAAAACAAATTAGGTGTTACTTTCGAAATCAAGGATTTAGAGAGATTTAAAAACTATTCACACTCAATTGACTTATTGAAACCCTTGACCAGTAATAAATTTTATTTTTTATTTTTTATTTTGTGAATTTTCTCCAGGATTGCTGAGTTGGAAGGCATGCTGAACCTGGCAACAGAAAGTCCCTCTTTGATTAAAGTGTTCTATCATCCACCACTCTTTGATTAAAGTGTTTTATCATATACTTACAACAGCTATGTCCTGATAAGAGGGTTACTCATTTCTATTTTCACTTCTAAAACAAATTAGGTGTTACTTTCGAAATCAAGGATTTAGAGAGATTTAAAAACTATTCACACTCAATTGACTTATTGAAACCCTTGACCAGTAATAAATTTTATTTTTTATTTTTTATTTTGTGAATTTTCTCCAGGATTGCTGAGTTGGAAGGCATGCTGAACCTGGCAACAGAAAATACAAACAATATTAGACGTCAGAATATGTCACATTTAGAAAAGTGAGTTATCTTGAAAGTTTTTGGACAGAAATTTTCTTTTTATAGAGAAGGTTCAAGCTTTTTTAGATTTAATTTTGTCCCGAGCTTTAGCGAGGGACAAAATATAATCTAAAAAGGCGAGAACCTTCGACCTTCGAGATATAGAGAAAATTTAAGTTTAAAACTTTATAGCACGTCGTACCAAAATAATGGTGTTACAGTGTTATAGGTAATTTTATGAATCCTTTGTGTACTTGTCTTATTGCATTGGCTATTTCTAGATCAATAAGCTCAAATAATTCGGGAACCAATCAAAACTGTATACCACACGTGCTATAATGTATAGCACGATGATTAATTTATAGCATGTTTATTATGAAATTCACGATGAAGTGATTAATTATAATAAAGTACACAACAGTTTCATAAAAAGATATTAAATAAATGGACAATTTCATAAATAGAACAATTTATAAATGGACATTTGCTATAGAACATTTTATGTATATTACACTTTATGATAATATTAACAATGACTAGTAATAAAAAGTCTTAACAGTTGATATGATAAAATGTTCTTGTAAATATGCATTCGCTAGTGCATGCGAAAACATGTTTTTTTCTTTAAAATATGTCGTTGTGGGTATCAGAAATCCGTGTTAAAATACTGAATTGAAAAATGTTCAAGTCAAAAGATATGTTAAAAATTAAAATTTTTAAAAGCAAAGAACGGACTTTTTAGATAAAATTTGGCCGAGTCCGCCCGGAAAATAGTTTTGGTTCCTAGATCAAACAATTTTTAAAAAATTTCAAAAAACTAACAAATGGGTAATATTCAGTGGTACTGGTACTTTAGACTTAAAAACTTAAAAAATCGGCCTCCCCTAGTAATTTTTGATTTTTTAAATAAAAAAAATTCAGCCTTTTTTGTAAGTTTCAATGAACAATTTTTGCTGCGGCGCGGCTTGTTAATTTTTGCAAAAAGTTGATACTGTCCCAGGAATATTAAAACTTATATCATTGCAACGAAAATGAAAATGGTACGAAAAGTTTCCTTGTTGTATTTATCTATCTATCGATATGTAATTCTAACAAAACTATTTTAAAATATGTTCAATATTTCACCTGTTAAATAAAACTTTCCATTTTATAACAGATGCACCCTGTAATTAACGCATGAAATAATAATAATTATGTTGAATCTATCAGTAAATAAAATATTCCATAGGGAGGAGCAACTTCGTCGAGATATTGAGCTAGGAGATAAAGAAATAGGACTACTTACATCAGAGTTGGCTCAAACAGAATCAAAACTTATGAGAGCTCAGGTAATCAGAGATTCACACACGGCTCAACGCTAGGAAAATCATGCATTAACGTAGAAACCGACTCAACTCGACATTAAAGTGTCAGCTGACATTTCCCATTAGTTTGTAAAGCCCACTAGCACTTTTTTGTAGCCCTTCACAAAATAGTTAAAGATTTAAATTTTAGGTTACATTTTTTAGGAATTNGTGGTAATTGTACATCAGACAATTACTTCTTGCGATACCCTGTCTTAAGTTTTGGTCTCAGATCTACGTACACTAGAGAGACAGATGTCGCGATACACAACTGTTAGATGTACTGTTTGTCACCATTTGATCTATACCTAAACGCCTGAGCCCAAAACTTAAGACAGGGTATGAAAATCAGTTTTAAAACCCGTGTTTCAAGAATGGTGTTAGGCATTTTTGTGAATATCAATATTTTGTAATGAAATATTAATTTTTTTCAGTTCATTTATACTCTCCATTTTTTTCGAAACTCTTAAATCAAAATCTACACAAATGTTAAGACCCCAAAAAGGAAACTCGGGAGTTTCGTTCGACGATACTCTTTTAAATTTCGGGCTCAACTGGTTTTCATAAATTTACCCTGTCTTAAGTTTTGGGCTCAGATTCCCTTTTTGAACTCTAATCTATGTTTTTATTGCAAAGACGACGGATTACATCCCTTAGTGGATACGTTTTAAGAATTTTTTTTTTTTATATTAAATAACGACGACAAAAAATGTAAATAAAATTCCACTGTTAACTAGCTAAACAACTTAGGAACCGGCTGAGAAAATAAAAATTAATCTTGTTATCGAAAATAAGTAATCTTATTTAATTATTAGTTTTTATATTCTCTGATTATTCACAAATTCATAGAAAATAAGAAATTCAATAAAATGATGAAAACGAAATACTTGATTCTAACATTGATTTATTGACAAATTTCTTTTGAGAAATACGTTCCTAAACATCTAATTAGTTTACTGTATAATTTTTACTTTATTTTTCGTCGTTGTTATTTAATAATTTTAAAAAAAACCGATTCTGAAAACGTACCCACCCAAATTCACAATTTTTAAACTTTGACTATGCACTCAAACTCAGTAATTATACATCGTGGAAACGCTTTATGTGTCTCAAATGAATCATAAGGAATTTGTCCATAACACTGCATACTCAGTTTAACCACCACACATTGCCGGTTTGTCCCTTTTAACACTGAACAATAAGTAAAGTTATTACAAAAAATATTGTTTTGAGTGGAACAAAATTGTTTAGAAAAAAATTGATGAACTTATGTTACAACAAAGAGATCGTTGGGAACAGTTCTGCAGGTGGTGTACAAATCATTTCATTATCTTTATTATAATTATTATTATTATTAAGACCGGAAAAGTTGACCCAGCTTGGAAATTCAATGTACTACGGCTACCCGTGAACGTGGATATCCTCTTTTTCCAGGATAAAAATTGAGTGTTGTGAAACTTGAATGAACAGTTTTGCACTGTACATTAATTGCAAAAGATTTAACGTTGTTTCCGAAGAAATTCAATTTTTAGCAAAAAAAATATTGATATCTCCATCGTACTTGATCAGGCAAAGTTTAAAGTCACTGAGTAGATATTGATAGAAGCTTAATGTACTGAGTACAACAGGCAAGCTGGGCAAAACTTACAAGTTTAGAAATTTGGGGTAGTTTGTGTATGTATGTATTCTTAACAAGTTATTTTTCCAGTGCATAACATGGGATTCATCTTTCACATAAAAAAATGAAATATTCTGTTATGTGAATTATCAAAATGATCAAAATCAAATGCTTTTATCCTCCTCGGATCGAGAGGAACACTGATTCATCTTTTATTGTTTACTAACAGAGCTAGGGTTGTTAATCTTTTTTGAAAACGATCGTTTTTCAATCGTTTTGAACTTTCAAAAAACGAATAACGATCGTTTTTGAAAAAAAATTATTGACAATTATATTAACAAAGGGTTGTCATTAACGATCGTTAACGAAGGGTTGTTGTTGACGATTGTCAACAAAACGACGAACTTTATCAAAAACGGTCGTTTTTGGAAAAACGATCGTTTTTGAAAAAAATTACATGCAAAAAATGTAATGTCGTTTTACATGAAATTAAAAAGTTGTGGGGGATAATTTCTTAAAAACTACTCAAACTACTCAGGTACCCTTCAGGTCGGCTTCCTTTCTTCGTTAACAACGATAGTTAACGAAGGTTCGTCGTTAACGATCGTTAACTTGAAGGTTCGTCGTAAACGATCGTTAACAAAGGTTCGTCGTTAACGATTGTTAACAAAAGGTCGTCGTTAACGATCGTTAACGAAATACGATTTTTATAAAAAAGATCGTTTTAAAAACGACCTTTTTTAAAAACACGAACTTTTTAAAAAAAACGATCGTTTCGTTTTCGATTTTTCGTCCTCGTTTTTTTAACGAAACGTTAACATCCCTAAACACACACCAGAGAGAACTGGTATAAATATTTACGCAGAGAATACGCAACAGCAATTAAATATCATTGCATTATTATCTTGCCCTGTAGTATGTGTGCACTGTAAGAAACCAACTTCCTCTTAAAATCGAGGTTTTGTGAAATGAGGTGGCTGAGTG